AGGGCAGAGTTGCACACCCATGTTCAATGTATATGCAGATCTTGATTATGCTCACTAAATGGAAGCATTTGAATGGCAGTTCGGCCACCTATCTGGACCTGGTCAAAGCACTATGGACATGTAAAGAGAGATGCACGATCGAATGGGAGGACATTCTCAACATCCTGCAGTGACGGCCCTCCTTGTCAGTGTAATTGCACCTAAGGCGGAGAAATATTACAAGAAATGAAACTTTGTTTTTATCATTTCGAACATGACTATCGTCATACCTTTTTACCTTCTTCAGAGATATTGTAATCTCACCTCTACTTTACAGCGATCAGTAAACGGTGGGCATATCGTCATACATTTTTACCTTGTTCAGAGATATTGTAATCTCACCTCTACTTTACAGCGATCAGTAAATATATTTATCAAATCACTGTTTCTTTGTGTTTTCTGCATTTGCAAGTTTACCCCAAGAACACGTGGAGTCAGATTGTACCAATGGCGGCTGCTACCTGTTGGGCAGGACATGCGTGCACTTTCACAAGACGTGGTGTCATCAGTGATTTTTCGTAATCCATTCCTATAGTTTTCTCCCCTATTTTGCCGTTTACGCCCAATGGAATCTGTTTCGGTGGATATCCAAGACTGGTTATTCTCTGGCGTTGACATTTTATATTTATTGAATTTAGAATGCTACGGATTCGATTTTACATTTGAAATATCTCCCGTAAATAATGACAGTTCATAGTGATGCTTTTAATAAAGTCATGATCGTAAAATGGAGTCTGCTTACCACAGAGATTTCTTGTGATTATGCAAAAGGTTTTGTCGCTCTTATCCATACAAACATCTCTGACGAATTCAAATACCTCCACCTCACAGTGATAGCAATGATTAATTACTCAGAAATGCACATACTTTCTAAATTAAATTGAATAAAAAACTGATTATTCAGTCAGTAATCAGAACATATTCGTAATTCGTAGTTCGATCACAGTGCTATACAACCTTCATATTGTACATCGTTTCAAATATTCAAACCGTCCCTCTGTTTATATCACTAGAAATAGCATAAGTAAGCGTATACGTTTTCTCTCCCTTTCTCACAACCTGAACAATAGGTAACAGGTACTATGGTTGTGGTGATCAAAAGATCAAAATTTCATGTACATGAGGTGAAGAACAAATTTGCTTCATGGTATGATTTAAAACAGGAAAATACTATTTCAATTCTGGAAAATGAGTTCAACACAAAACAGAACATTTAAAGCCGTTCAAACATCAGTGCACTTCATTTCATTATACCTTGCGTCATTATTACGTACATTTGCCACATTCAGACACAAAGTCATTTAAGCCCAGTACGAACAACTACAGGTGATGCCTCTATTGACAATACGCCTGTCAGCTTTTTACCCACAGTATCCAGGTTTCGTCAGGATAACTTCCGTATCAAATGCTAACATAATATCTGAAAACAGCGTTGCCTCCCTTTGACCAGCTACCGTAAATGTGGTATGCATTATTCAACCTTTTCTATCCCTGGCATTGTCTACAACTGACTTTGTTGACTGGATACAAGACAGGATAATGTTTATAACGGCGGTGGCAGTAAGGCTTACGATAGTATTCCAGTTATATCACGGCGTGACAGCTTAATGTGAGAGGAAAGCCCAAGTGATGAATGTCTCAGACGTTTACCACTTCGGTGAAACCCAAGAGCACGGGTATGGTGCTGACAAACCTAGAAACATAAACTGGGCGAACATGGATTCGAACCCACAATTAAAGGTCTCTGGCGTGCCCAAAGGACGCAACTCTGCACAGCGAATCACGGCGCCTTAAACGGCTGGGCCATTCGTACCCCGAAAATCTTCAGACCTGACTTCACAAACAATATTCAGTATACGTTTGCCGAGCATAAATAAGGAGGCATTTTTTTATTTTTTCCCTCATTTGATTCATTCTCTGTAGAGGTGAGGCAAGGCAAAATGAGCTTCGAGGTTAAACGTTGCGTTCAAAAATATTGCACTTATATGAAGTGACGTGCATGCACGTGTATGTGTATATGTATGTGTGTCTGCTCATGTCGTTTTTACAGAACAAGCCACTGATACACCATGCCGAAGTTTTAACATGAATACCCCACTTTGACACTGTATACTGACCACAAACTGACCAGTCTTATCCCCTCAATGCTGAGCGCCAGGCGGGGTAACAAGTGAACCATATTTTAACGTTACTGGGCAGATATTCTCTACCTTTACGCAGATGCTTAAGGAAGTTCAGGCGTGGTATACATACCCTCAATATACAATTATACAGACACTCCAAAGATAATGAGGCTTTAACATCGATGTGTCCTTTCTGCAAATATAACCAAGAAAATGAATACCATGTTTTATTGATTTGTCCAGTATATGAGGATATAAGAATCAAATACCTGCCTAACTATTATTATACGTATCCATCACAAAGAACATTTGTACAGTTAATGAATAGCAAAAATAGCCACATTCTTCTCAGACTTGCAGTTTGTGTTTAAAAGATATTTGAAAGAAGTATAAAACATTGAATATAAATAAAACTGTGTACACCATATTTAGCTACAATCTAATCAGTATACAAGTGGTGCTTCACGACGGATTGTTTTACAACAAAATGTCATTGTGCTATTGGCCTTATGGCCACACATACGAAATAAGTCTGTCTGATACTCTATCCATACGACAATGGAGGCGGTCTGGCCCACCTTATTTCAGAGCAAGGGATTTACAAATAAATTGATGCTTATTTATGCCATGTAACCTGGATAACTTCCTTCAATTGTTAGTTTGTTTTGGTTTGGTTTTGCGTATTCTCTTTATTTGAATATAATTAACAAAGACACTTATTTGTCTTTTTCACAGGGAAAGTGTATATTTAGATCATGATAGTGAATATAGTTTGTGATTGGTTCTGATTATGATACACGCTGCACTGGTATGGCTCAGTCTGTGTGACTTCACTGCGTTTGGATAAGCACCTTTTTCTAACTGTATACATATTCAGATATATACTCATAAAGGAACAATCGGACCCAATTGCCTCGAACTCCTGGGGACCAAAGAAATAGTTCGACTTATCCGAACTATTTGAATTCGACCTGGATCTTGATAAGTTTTACCTTTTAACTTTGGGGACTGTAAATTGAACTCAAAACACCCATGTCTAGCATTCAGGTAACAATACTATAAATATGGTAAGATGTTGGACTGTGATTTCGCCTGGACTCGTGGAATCGGCACATCCGAGTTCAAGACATCGGGGTTCGACTGTATATGTACGTCTGCATAATTGCATAAGGATTTTCATATATTTGTCACATGAATGAAACTGGTGACATTTTAGAAATTAAAATTAATCGCCTCTGTATGTTTATATTGTATGGCACAGTGTTGCGAGGGGATTTCCGAATTAAAACGCGAAGGTTAACTTAGGAAACGGTTCAAACTATATTGCCAAATCAGTAAATCAGCATACAATATAAATGAATAAAAAACAACTTCTATTGACAAACATAATTGTAGGTCTACAGTCACAAAGGGGTTATACATTTGGTCAACTATGGGCAATACATAACAGGCCATTTAACTAGTGCAGCACTAACAAGAGTTATCTGATGATAAAAGTATATTACTTAAACCATGAATGTTAGTACAATAATGCTTCCAACATCATTCGCTCCTAATATACGTTTTCAGATACAATGTTTGTAATAAAAACGATATCTTACGGGGATTCGTTCAGTGATCTATCACATAATATGTCACATAAGAATATGTCAGATATCATGGAAGAATGTTTGCCAAGACATCATGGAAATTAATAGGATAAATTGCTTTGAAATAAAACAGTCATTATATTCCTGAATATGAGGTCACCGTGAACGTACTTTAAAGCCTATATTGCATGTACAACAGGTTACATGGCTTCGTTTTGGGAGTGAGACTTCACAACTCTGACACTGGAAATGGTGCAGAAACAAATCAAAGTGACAATACCGACTATGATAGAAAGACACCCACGTGTTCCTGCAAGTACATATTTTACACAGTGACATGTAGCTGCAAACATTCATTGTGTACGTCAATCAGAACTCACTCCCACTAATTTCAACAAAGCACTTGCTTTAAGAAACTTCGGAACACACTGAAATCTGGATATGTCCAGTTATAAACATTTGTAAGAACAGTTATGTAATCTTCTAAACATTAAAGTTAGACATGAACCTAGAATTTGTAACGTACAAAGGGTTTTTAATGGAATCGAGATGCGAACAGAAACGTCAAAACTACATCGACACAAATCACTCCAACTACTTTCAACATAAGACGGGGGTACGCGTGGCCAAGTCGCCTAAGGCGCCGCGAGTCGATGTGCAGAGTTGCGTCCCTTGGGCACGCCAGAGACCTATGATTGTGGGTTCGAATGCAGGTGCGCCCAGATTATGTTTCTAAGTTTGTCAGCACCATACCCGTGCTCTTGGGTTTCACCGAAGTGATAAACGTCTGAGACCTCCATCACTTCGGGCTTTCCTCCCACATTAACCTGTCACGCCGTGATATAACTGGAATACTGTTAAAAGCAGCGTTAAATCCAACTCACACACTCACTCGATTCAACTTAACACAATGCCTAAAGAAAGTTTGGTACACACTGAAATGTGCATATGTCTAGTTAGGAACATTTGAAAGAATCTATTATGTAATCCTCTAAGCAACATAAAGGATTTTTTCGTCATGAAGTTAGCTATGGTCCTAGCATTTGTAGAGTAAAATATTTGGTTTTTTTTATGGAATTGATATGCTTACCGAAACATCAATGCTACATCGACAGAAATGACAAATAGCTCGTTATTTTCTGCAAACCAAATTCGGACTACTGACTCCTAAAAGAGGTTGTAAAACTGTATATATATACTGTAACACCGGACACCATAATAACAATGGTAACTCCTTTCTAGACCACTTTTAGAGCTGCCGCAGCTCTATCTTTTCCCCAGACTCAGTGTAGTGAATGATGACATTCTCAGAATTACTAGTGGTATCTGAACTAGGCACTGTGTCACCAACTACTGGAGCATGGCCATAGGTGGGAACATGACTTGAGATTCCATATATGGTTTCTGATCTTTGATTGGGTGAACGTATCTCCAAGCGTGCAGGATCTGTAAGAAAGTTGTTAAGATTTCCGTCTATATGATATGGTTGGGATGACTGCAAGGCGATGTATCTCTCTTCCATAACACGTTGTCTGTCTGTGGAAACTGCTTGTCCCAGTTGACTCGGAACATACACCCCTGGCAATTCTACTGATGTCTGGTTCACGGGACACGTTGATGTTAGTGGTGTGGATGTAAGCCAACCGCCATTGTTAAAGCTTCCGTGTGGAATTGACGATGATTTCATAAGAAACTGGCCATCGGTTGTCACCCTGAAACAATATCACATGCACTTGACATAACATTTCAGATAAAATAGGACTAGTCAAAATAGTGATGCTATTGTGACATATAATACAAAATCAAGATGTAAAAGCCTCCAGCGCTTACGAATTCGTATCTAATGAAAAAGACTCCAAACTAAATGGAAGCCCCATATACTCATGAACGTAAACCAACGAATCATTCAATATTATACACAATGGAGCCTAATTAAGTTCAAATATTGGTTAACATAATTTCAGTGTTTTTGCAAAGTCCCCATTGACATATGTAGCCCATGGAAAATAAGGTTTCACTTGGAACAAATAGCAATAGAGTTCATTTCACCACTATACATTTCTACAAGGTCCCCAAAACAACATACTTAAAGTCCCAAGCAATCCCAGTTTGGGAAATATGTCTCATTTACATAATCCAATATGGCAACCAACTGCCAATAGTATTTTCCATATTTCAGATGAGGTTCAATGTTTTGAGGAAAAAACAGCATGTGTTGTTTTGCAAAATAACCATATTATGTTTCTAAAAAGATATTCACAACTATTGATCGTTTTCGACTATTGACAAATCTACAAAACTCAAGATGAAACAACTGTCTGAAACAGTGTGCTGGGACTTATATGCATAAAACTTGTCACACTAACTGACTGGCCCAAAAATCCAAGATGACCTCCAAGACATGGACAGACATGGAATATCAATACACTGTTGGTCTCTCATCACATATTTGATTGATTGATTTGGGACTTTTAGTATGTTGTTTTGGGGGCCTTGTAGAAATGCACTGTCCATATTCTTTTTTAGCTGAAATAGATATTTTGATATATGTCTGATGGTACTGTCCTCTTCGAGGTCTCATATGGTTATCTGAGGTTTCAAAACTGTTCTGCAAAACAGCGTATACAATATATGTGTTTGGGCTGTCAACTCAAACATCATTTCCACATTGCTCTTACCTATCTGTAATTGTACCATGGTTGGTTGTCAGGTCATGTATATTTGTTGCCTCAGTTATAATCCTTGCAATATCATCGTGATGTTGTGCCTCTGCTTTTTGTAAAGCAGTTTCTTCTTTATCGTCTTTCTCATAAACATTTGCCTTGTTCTGTAATAACACCTCCACAACCTCCCTGTGTCCCTCGTAGGCTGCATCATGTAGAGGTGTGCTGCCATCTTGACGTTTCTCATCCACATTTGCCTTGTTCTGTAATAACACCTCCACAACCACCCGATGTCCCTGCCAGGCTGCATCATGTAGAGGTGTGCGGCCAGCATTATCTTTCTCATCCACATTTGCCTTGTTCTGTAATAACACCTCCACAACCTCCCTATGTCCCTGCCAGGCTGCACGATGTAGAGGTGTGCTGCCTTCCTTATCTTTCTCATCCACATGTGCCTTGTTCTTTAATAACACCTCCACAACCACCCGATGTCCCTGCCAGGATGCATCATGTAGAGGTGTGCTGCCATTTTGACGTTTCTCATCCACATTTGCCTTGTTCTGTAATAACACCTCCACAACCACCCGATGTCCCTGCCAGGCTGCACGATGTAGAGGTGTGCGGCCAGCATTATCTTTCAAATGAATTATTCCCTTGTTCTGTAATAACATTGTAACAACTTCTGCATTTCCATATATACATGCTAAATGAAGCCCAGTTTCACCCTTCTTGTTTTGCTCACTAATGTCCACTACTTCCTGTAACAGATAGCTTACAATGCTAACATTTCCAACTGCACATGCGTAATGTAAAGGTGTTGATCCTTCAGGGCCTGTTATATTGACATTCAGTTTTCCAATTTTTGTAATTGTATCCATGGTATCTTTGCCCTTTAGGCACAAGGATGCATAATGTACATATGTATTCTTTCTTGACCTGTTCTTGTTCTTGCTCATCTTTATCAAATGTGACAATCTGGAAGCCACTGCAGACAACCCACCCATACAGGCAATGTCCAAAAGTGAACATTTACCAAACTTTACTCTCAGATCATCTGCAACTGCCAACTGCAGTTTAATGATAAGAGGTCTTGGGAGTTCGGGTAGCGTCATACACAATGTATCCAACTGCCAGTTATTTTTGGAACACAAGTAATCGAAGTTGGCTAAACTGTTCCCAAAGCAACTTCCAAACAAAGCTTCCTGTCTGTTCTTTACCATAAACTGAACACTGTTCAATGCTTTCTTCAGCAAAATCGAGTTGTCTGTGATGCTCGCCCAAAACAGAAAGGAATATCCATATATAATGTCCTTTTTTGACAATACTTTCAACAGTTTCGATCTGTCCTTGTTCAGATTATGCAAGATATTCTCCCAAACCATATCAACAAATGTCTCTACCTGGAATAGGGAATGCATGCACTCAAAGGCAAACTTTCTGCCATGTACAGCTGCAAGAAACCGCTTCGCTACAATATGCAGATCATCATGTTTCAATTCGATTTTTAAAGGCACATCTAGTTGTTCCGCTTCGGTTGGATCACCTCTAAATGTCACATAACGAAATATGAACTCGAGATCCATCCTTTCAACCAACTGTCCCACATCACTGAGCAGTATTTCTCTTAGCTTTATTGCTACTTCATGATTTCTTATTCTATATGAGCCTGCTTCATGATGGAGACAGCATCCCGCCAATTGGGATAAAATAGGTTTCATCATATTTTCAGTGTATTCTTTTTCATTGATGTCAAAAACCTTGAGTGCCCAAACAATATATTTTTTGTAGGTTTCTCTTTCCACGCGAGTCCCTGTGTAAGACCTTGCCCATAGCATCCTCTCCTCCAGGTTATTCTCCGCCAAAGCAACCACTAACAAGCACGCCATCTTCTGCTTATCCAACAAGTGCTGATCCAAACATGGATAGTTCTCTGTATCTGTGAAAACAAATAGCGTTTGTAAGAAAGCAGTGTACAACATTGTACATGTAGATCTAAAATACCTTGCGTAACGCCTTACAATTACGTAACATAGAAATGATCTCCAGAATGCATACTTTCATCACTGGCGACAGCAGAGTCGGTTCCTTCATGTGTTTCATGTCCATCCTCTTCATGAATAGTTGGACCTCCTTGCTCTGTTGATATTGTACAGATATTTTCCAGTACACCTCTTGTCTCCAGCGTTACAGTTTGAATTTCGTTTCTGACATTACCCTGTCCATCAACTGCCATCATGTGATTACCTCCACCTTGCATATCTCCCTTGTCCTTTGCATACTGTAGTATCCTCTGAAGCACATACAGCCTGTATTTCTCAACGTGACAGTTCCTCGTGATGCCTGGAGACTTCTCCGACAAAATTGCATCAGCAGCCTGAGAATATGAAAGTTAGAAATGAAAAGGTATCGTTCATACGTGGTTATTGAGACACATGTTGCCTTTCATATCAAAAACATAGCTTCAAACCAACCTACCATCAGAACGAATATTCCACAGCTGTGTCCATCTGACTGTTCTATCACTGGGTACTGTTTCTTCATCCATGACTTGCTCCTTTCCTTAGACGTAGATTTCAAGTGGTTTACAAAGAGCCTGAGGAATACATGTATATTACTCGATGGCGATAACATCTTCAACTCATGTGGACTGGTGTTAAAGTAAAGGTAGAGCAGAAGGTTAATACAGCAGTGCCTAAAATATCCGGTCCTGACATTTCTGATGTTCTCTCCTGCTTTGTCCATAATTAGGTTTTATGTTAGCAAATACAGATGTTATGGTTTAAATGAATGAGTGACATAACTGTATTGATGGCGTTTAAATCATTCACACAGTGTACCCATTTGGGGAACTGGGTAACCCTGTGAACAAGTTGTTCTATATCTTCTACCCAAAAGTAAAAGCTACAAATGTGGGTGTATCGAACATTTTTCGATGGATCTTATTTATATTCATGTTTGTTTTTGAGAAATCAACATTTCAACATTTCAAATTGGATAGCTTGGTTTTAACATTTATAATGTGCAGCCACACGTCCTCTTTTTTTTGTATCTACCTCTAGTGTTGTACAAATGGGTGTTCTACATATAAGGCGGGTTTAGAATTGACCACGCCCACTGTTCTGTCCACCTACCTCCAGTGTTGTACAACCTTGTCCTCCACATCTAAGGAGGGTTTAGAATTAACCACGCCCACTGTTCCATCCTTGACATTAGCCACCAGTAGCACCCAATGTTGATTACGTGGCATGTTCACTGGCATTAAGATCCACGTGTAGTTTGTCAAATTTTCCTGAAAGTTCACAACAAATGCCTTTCCGGTGTACGATCAATATATCCAGAAACACGTGCTTCACATAAGATGGATATGATGCAGTAACAGAGATATTAGTGAATTGGTATCATGAACTTGGAACTAAGAAATTCTAAAGACCCCTCTCTGACAACCAGATTTTCAATTCATAAAATAATATGTAGCAAGACGAATATGTTCATGTGCAATATCTGCTTTTGTAACTGCATATTGAAAACGAATAGCATTATGATCAATGGGGTTACTGGCTTTGACTCAATTGAAACCCATTGCAGCATGTGGTCGTGAAATTTAAAGGAGACAGCTCATGTTTGCTTGTGTGTGTTCAGCATGGTTCCAGGTCACATCGGGGTCAGATTTGAGTGTGCAAGGATCGGAAGTTTGGTAATCGAGGAAGGAACAGTTGTGCATCCATGTTCAGAATACATGCAGATTGTACAGGTCTTTACGAAGTTGAGTGAGAAGAGGCTCGTCCTCATCAATGCACTGTGAAGACGGGGTGTACGATTGAGCGGGTGGACATCCTCAACATTCTCTAGGGACAACGCATATTGTTGCGTAGCCAAGTATCTACGTAGTTTACTCTTGGGAAACTCGAAAACGTTGAAATAGCGAGTAACGATACTGGATTCAATGAGTTTCCTGGACATAATATGCAGCAGTTGTATATCAGCTGAACCGTAAACAGTATTGCAATCAATTATTTTCTTGTGGATGTTTACTTCTTTTGTCAGTTGTTGTTTGTCATTTTCGCCTTCCCACACACAATGACATGCAGCCCTTAACACTCTAAGGATGTTTTCGCCCACTAAATGATATTGCGAAATAAATTAAATGCCATGTGCAGTACCTGTTAATCTTGTCAGTTACACCTCCCCGGGAAGGATACTGCATGCACACTGCCGTCACATACATTAACCAAACAACATAGCTGCCGGAAAGGTTCAGCTTTACATCGTCCACATATGACGCCTTTACATTTTGTATGGCGTCGCAGGCCCCGTTTCACAAAGCGATCTTAGCGCTACGACTGTCGTAGGTCTATGCTAAAGTGTGGGAGTTACGGTCGCCCTGGTGCTACGATCGCTTTGTATGAATGACGGGTGTTACCGGTAGGACAGGACATGCTTACCCTTTCCTCGAACACCTGCTGTCATCATTGATTTTCAGTGGTACATTCATATTTTTATTTATTCTCGTGCATTGACAATTATATATTGTGGAACGGCGCCCTACCTTCGATCATAACCTCAATCGGTGTCATAGTGTACGAAAACCACTTGCGTGTGACATCATAACTCCAACGAACCTTTTGCCAGTCACTGCTACAACGTATATACGCCGGTATGTGCATCCATGTAGTGACATATATTTATAGCATTGCAAGGTTGACGTTTGTCGGATGTTCGGACCTAGATCGGTTCAAACACTGTACCGTGGTTGTCAAAGGGGCATGTGCAGTTCGTGATCAGGTGTTACGTATTCGATTCATCAAAGCACGGCTGTAAGCCAAATCCTCACCTGCACCGGAGTCATGTGAGATACGAAAACGCTCTCCCAGCTTATGATGACTATTAGGTATGCGGAAGCCATCAACTCCTCAATTAATTGTTGGGTTGCAGATACAAACAACTGGAACAGACAGACAGACAATGTCCTTTCCTCTATAGCTAAGGCTGTTATATGCCTTTAATAGAGCGTTGACTGCTCCAAATTAACTATGGCCTGTTGAGTATGTTTGCATTGAAAATAAACACCTCATTTATGCTGTATTAGAATGGTATCTTAATGCGTACGGGTGTGTTTCCTCATTTATTTGATACACTTGCATAATAAATTTATTCCTGATTTCAAATACAAACTTTTGAAAAATTTGCCATGACCTGTAATGTAATCCCCACTAAACTTCCTTTACATGAAGGGCGATAACACAGCAAGACACCATACCCTGGGCTCGTATATATCTATTACAAAGCGCTAGGCTGACTAGAAAGATGACTCTTACATCATTTGAGGCCTACATTCTATGTATTGAAAACTCGAGTTTGATACTATGTGTACACTGTTGGTTCGATCGTATTAGTTGTGCGACAGGGACAATCCCTTTTTATAGACAGGCGGACGATATCTCTCCTGGCGAAGTCAAGTGTGTGGTGAATGAATACGTCAATACCTGGCACACGTTCTGTCGGATTTTTCGGATGATAAGAAACTTGTGCTGAGAACAACAGGCAAATGTTTTCATGAGTTGATGAAAGCAACACGCTCAGAGTAAACAAATAGATCATTTAATAAAACAGATATATTATTAATTATAGAAATTAAGTGCCAGTATCATTACATATCCGGATGCCCCTTTATCTACACGTACACTCTATAACCGCTTGGCTACCCACCGCCCCAGTATCAATGCACACGATGTGCATACTGATGATTCAACTCAAACCAACTTGTCGTTTCATGCATCTGGACCAGAAAGCAGGCCCAGTGAATGAAACAGGTATTTACACCGTCACTGCTATTTCACCCACACACACCCCAAGATTGAAATGGTTTATGAAATCCGAAAATTCGCAGTCCGAGAGCCGGAACAAGATTGTCACACCTGGTCGCTGTAACGGCTGGTCTACCTGCATGTGGGTAACCTCACAGCGCCTACAACAATTTCCGCATAGCAAGCAGGGGGAATCCCCTTTCCCTATTCATAGGTGTTAAAGGTGGTTGTGTACAGTTGTCACATTGTCGCGGCGACTGAGGGATACACATGTGTGTTTCATTTTCTGACTAGACGTCGTAGATAAAGGCAGCATGGGTAATATTGTTTCATACTGTTCAAGATTCAGATATCAGGCAGGTGAAGATTCCCTTCACCTATTTTCCCAACAATTAATGAATGTTAGCTTGTCACTGTTCATCAGTGTTTATGCGCGTCCTCGTGTGTACACGTGCAATTGCGACTTTATGTTTATTTATGTATACTAGTGTATGTAACATTACCCTACTTCTTGTGACGCTACAGTTCTCAATCGTGGTTTAAAACAGGTATAAAGTTTACAATATGCGGGATCCAAGCGTCACCACGAATATGCCTCATTGTGTTCATTTTGATTCCAGAAAATGTCCAAGACAGACGACCACATAACCTGCTATTATAACCATCAGCTCGAACTGAGAGGTACGTTCAGTCGCATTAATCGTTTTACTAAATGTAAGATATGGATTGTGTGTCACGTTATGCTTTATCAGATGCAAGCTTGACATTATTCCCACTGTCTGTGCATCCACCCAAACGTTTTCTTTTTACGTTGTGGTACATTAACAATATCTTTTTAGGGTTTTTGAGTGAATGTAATCTTAAGATAAGTTTAAATAACGTAGAATATTGATAGGGAATTTAAAAATTGACAGTCAATATACAACACAAACACACACACACGCACACGCACACGCACACGCACACGCACACACACATACACACACACACATGCATTCATGCACACACACACATGCATACACAAACAAACACACACACACACAAACACACACATACATACATACACAAACACAAACACACATACACACACACACACACACATGCATTCATGCACACACACATACACATGTGAAGAACATGCTTATTGTGAGATGATTCTTGTAGGTACAACACCCTGGAACCAAGCATATGCTGTGAATGAAGAGAGGCTGAATATCCCTGTATCTGAAAGAGATCTCAGCCTTGTTGCAAGTCACATTGGGATCGGGTTCGAGTGTGTCGGCAGGGAACTCGGACTTACTCTCGTGGTTATCGAACAAGTCACGTTTGCACACCCTTATTCACTGTACATGCAGGTTGTACACATGCTTACGAAATGGAAGGAGAAGAATGGAAGATCTGCCACCAGCCTGGTCCTCGTCAGAGCACTGTGGAGATGCAACGAGAAATGTACGATTGAGTGGGAAGACATTCTGAACATTCTTCAGGGACCGTCCACTATGTCAGGTAAATAAAGTGCTGCTCTGAACACCCTTCTCAAGTACAGTTATCACTGATTTATTGATTGGGAGGATATTCTCAACACCCTTCAGGGACTAACATCTATTTCTGCGTAGCCATGCACCTGCATGTACGAATCACATTTAGAGGAAACATCCGCTTTGAAATATCGAGTCGCGATACTAGATTGACTGAGGTTTCTGTGCACAATTTGGGATCATGACTGAACTGAATGAGTTTTGCTTCCTCGTGCAAGTTGCGCACTGAACATTCATCATATGTACAGTTATCATTAATTTGCCGTGTATAATACATTGTGATTGTATTTGTATGTTAATAAACTGCTATGATGTCCTTTGTAAGAACTGCTCATTCTGCCTCTTGTGATATTGGCGGAACAGTGACCGAGGGATAACAAGCTGTGCTCTAAACGTCATCCGTAGTCCGAAAATCCGGGATCATAACTGCCTCTCACATAACAAATGTCCCGACTGTATTAAGGATTGAAAATTCAAAAATATTTTTAGAATGTAATTTCAAGGGTACTGTCTATCTGTTGACTCTGATTTTGAACACTATTACTAGGTTTGCCGGTTGTAGAATCGTTTTTGATTCATTAAGGACGCCATTATTTTCTGACTTTATATATTAGCTCTATTCTATTTGTAAGGATATTTCCTGATTGGTATATAAAACATATTGGTCATGGGCTGTAGTAGTTCTCAGGAATGATGACAGGTTTTATATATATGAACAATTATTATGCATATGTTTGCTGGTGCTTGTTTAGATTGATACCAAATGACAACTGTTGCAATGTTTTCAACAGTCGTTATAATGCACAAATCTTATATCACAGAAGCAGGTACTTATGTTACAAAACATTGCCTCGTACATACAATTTATATTATATTTTGTTATTTCAGTCGAACGGTCATTATTGAACAAATTGTCATGCCTATTTTCTTCTTCGCAAATCTAACAAATAAAAAGAGAAGCGATAACATTATCATGTATTTTTTAATTACTATCACATAGTTATGATACCAAGTGTCAGCGAAAAGGTGAACGTATCCTGTCCCACTGGTTGCACCGTCTAAAACACATGGAAGAGAAAAGCCAGTGTTATCCAGTGCGAACAAACACGGGCTCATATGGTCCAAATCGGAAACTGCATCGCACGTCATTTTTGCCAGTGATGCTTCAAATTTGGAAATGCCCTCTACAGCTACCGTAAAACTTAAAACACTTTTGCATGTAGACTGAGAAGGATGACG